AATGTGCTTTTTTTTTTCAATATGTTTTAGGTCTTTTTCTTTTTCTAGATTTTCTTTCTTGATCCTCCCTAATACCTTAATCGCTTTTCTTTGCAGTCTTTGTGCGGATGCTCCGTCACCGTGTCCTCCATAGACGGGAAGACGTCTCACATGAAGATCACCGACGTCATCAAACCTGGCATGAGGAAAATCGTAGCTGGACAGGGCCTCCCGTTACCCAAAAACCCCGACCAGAGGGGAGATCTGGTGGTAGAGTTTGACGTGAACTTTCCGGAGACGTTGCCCGGGAACGCCAAGGACGTGCTGAAGCGGCACTTACCCACATAGGACAAGAGGACGAGGACTGAACAAGCGGTCACTTCAGTCGAGAGACACTTTTCCCACAAGGACAGTTCCGACAGTGCACAGATGGACCCCCAGCCGATGAATGTGCGGCCTCTATTTTTGAGCTATTTGTTGTTTTTATAGATATTGTGCATGCTGCCAAGCTGATACAAGTGCAAGTGAGAGACTGCTTGAGCTCTGACTGTTATGTGAATCTGCACACTTTATGTAAGTGGCCCTTTGGTTGGAGATGGCTGCCAGAAATCCCTGTGATGCGGGGAAAACTTTTGTACTGAACAGAAAGTTTTGATTTTCTCCTGGTGTTCATTAGAGGCAATCTTCAGATTTGAATCTCTTTTGTTGTGAGTTTTAAACCAGAGGCTCTCATGCTAGTTGTGGTGCAAGTTACTTAGTTCAGTTTTAGATATTGTTTGACACATTTTTGGACCTTTTACATGCAGGACTTGAATTTCAAAAGCATAATCTAAAAAAATAAGCTGTGTATTGGTTATGATTGCTTCACAGCTTGCTGCCTAGGAATATCTGTAGTCTGTGTAGCAGTATTGCAAAAAAGGCTTCTTTGCAGCCCTTGGAAATTAAATCTCTACATTGAGTCTAATGATAAAATGGAATCTACATGTAATTTAATCTATATTTTGATAGTAAAATGTGAATTTTCTGATGTTGTAAAACACACGGTTAACTTTTTTGATGTGCAAAGATGAAAATTAAATATATCTTGGCTGAATGTACTTTATAATGAGTGTTTATATATAGCTGTCCTGGTGTCAGCTGCTCATGTTCAACTGCTAATGCCAACACCGGGGGCATTAATGTTTTACCAGTAGGGGGTGCCACTTCACTCATTATACGTCTACCTATCTGTCCATCTATTTATTTATCTGGTCTGAAACTAACGATTATTTTAGTCAAATAATCAAAAAAATTGGCAAATTCAACATATTTTTAATTTAAGCACATAAGCCTATTTTACAAAATACTAGAAATTCATTAAAAGATAAAATCAAATAATGAAATTCCTTTTTTAAATAGGAAAAAAAATTTTTTGGTGAAGCTAACTATGCCAGTTGAGGGGTTCTTACTAGAACATATTTACAAACAAAAGTTTTCTTCATTTTAAGTGCAAAATGTATATATTTTTTCTAAGAATGCTGTTCTTCAGCAAAAGGACAATTTCTGAGTCTGTGTTCAAGTTAGCAATGAATTGATTTCTAAATTAGTTGACGATTATTTCGACAATCGATTAATCATGATTGATTGTTTCAATCTATCTTTCTATAGATATTTGATATTTGCAAATATTTGTATCCACTCGTGCATCTGTCTTTAAAGTACTTTGTGAGTGGATCAGCATGTGTTGGAGATTTGTGCAAACGTTGAGTCACAACCAGCCAAGGGAGGCTGCAGAGTAAACACACCTGCTCAGCGTGGGAGCTTTCCAGCTGGTAATCTTCTCTTTATAAAATCACTGCGTCCAACAGGACAAAGCTAATTGGAAATTGGGATCACCACTTTTCAGTTTGTGTCAACTGTGGCAACACTTCTCAGCCTCTCCTTGGAGTATTTCACATGCGCAGACGTGTCCAAACCTGGCAAATTTAAAGTACTGGCAGGCCACAAAATTCATTACATTTAAAATGCAAACATTTATTTATTCAGATTTTTTGTTTCTTTGATGGATTTAAAGTTTGATAATGAACACATTTTTTTTACTAAATCTTAAACTACAGTGTGATATGTTCATAAAAAAATATTTTTTTTTTACATATTTGTCAAAACTATCACCGTTTTGTGACAGATAATCTATGAAAAGATCGATCTCCTTCATCTCCCTGAGCTACTATAGTCTTCTGAAGAAATGCACCGCTCTTTGTCAAAAACAACCAATCGGAGCAAGAGGAGGGTCTTAGCGCTGTCAGTCAATCTCATGAAGGTGCTGCTAAATGTCCTAATGGCAGAAAAACATTTTATTTCCTGTTATTGGTCACCATGCTAACTACCTTAGCATTCATGGCAGTCTCTGTTGTGGTGACCCAGCTATAGTGCAGAGAGCCAGGGGGAGGGTAATTGACAGCACTGAAGCCCTCCTTCTGGCTCTGATTGCTTGTTTCCAGTTAGCACTGGGAGCAGTGGGAGAAAGCAGAAGAGTGCATATTATCTGTCTCATATGATACCATCACAACATAGTGATAATTTCAACAATATGAAAAAAAATATTTTTCATAAAAGTAAAGATCCAAAATATAAAAAAGCTTCGGACTGTCCCCTTATTAAAAGAAAAACAGACAATTTCCAAATTTTGGGGGTTGTCATTTGTTTTCTGTTTTGTTGGCCTAATTTTTACTGTTCTTGACTTGTAGTCAGTGGGCCCATCAAAATCATTTCAGGGGCTAAAAATGGCCCAGCAGCCACACTTTGAACACCCCTGATTTAGAGTGATTTCTCGGTCTGTTTCCGTGGTTTTCTCCACAGTGGAAAGTTTCAGTAAAACCTTCAAAGGAAACATCCTAATAGGTTTCCTGTCCCAGTTCCCTTTAATCAAGGACATCAGCCACTTTCAGCTCCTTGTTTTCAGCTGTTTGTATCTGAAAATTTATTGTTTTGGTAATAATCTGGGTCACATGGCCGTATTTAGGTATAAACATCAAACAATGATGCTGCATTCCTTCCTAAATGTAGTCAATCTGTTGGCTGATTTTGTTTGTTTTTTTGTCCCATGGAAACAAATTTAATCTCTGTGTTTCAGTGGCTGAAGAATTTCAACTTCTTGTTCTGAATAACTCTACTTTACAACAAAAACACCACTACTGACTATAGAAACGCCATACTGGACCTCAGGCAGCTTTGATTCTTCCTCATATTCTGGTATCTTGATTTCTAAATGGAAAATGTACTTCTAACTCAAAAAAACTATAATTTTATCCACTTATCAAAATTTCAGCTCTTTGTGTCTTTTGCGCAGCTTTATTTAAAGCACTTTTTCCTTCCACTCAACCTTTCATAAATGTGTTCAGTCTTCACTTTAAATAATCATCTTTTAAAAAAGTAGTCAACTATCTACTGGACACCTATCAAGGCAGCAGCCTTCTCTATATTTGTGTGGATCATAATGTAACACATCTTCATTAAAATAATTTTTATATCTGTCCAGTTTGTTTTGATATTTTTTAAGCAGTATAATTTGGGGTTTTCAGTAAGTTGGAAACCGTAATCAACAAAATTAATGCATCTGTATAAATTAAAGTTTTTGAATTTGATTACTGACATAAATTAACTTTACAACGACAATTTACTGAAAGGCACCTCTTTTTGTTTACTTTATTCATGATTTCTTTTTTTGGTTGATTCATTGCATGTTTGGATACTTATTCTCTCTTCTTTTGGATGCTTTGATGTTGGAAGGATTTTTGCTCTCACATTTTTACTTTCAGACAGTCGTTATGATCTGTTACTGTGGCAACAAGGTATTGTTTTTACAACTGGAAGCAGCTGATCAGCATCTGTAAAGCTCAAAAAATAGTTTGAACTATTACCCAAAATCTTAGAAGAGTTGAAAAGGAGGCTTGACCATAATGGATATTTCTCTCCTTTGGCCTGACAAAAATTTAAAATGGAGCAGCAAAAGGAAAGGAGGTAGATTAGCAGCAACTGACTGTGTCATCGAGGACATGTTACTGAGAAATAAGATCTCTACTGTCCAGATATTGAGCTGTAAGCATGTCAACAGATACAAGACTGTCATACAACAGTCTTCAGTCAGAGGCCTCTGCAGATTTGTTGCAAGACTGACTACTAGAGGAGAATCTTTTTGTTTACATCACAGTCTACGATACTTGGATTAAATGAAATATAATATTTAATTTCTCGTTGGGATACATATTTTTGATTTAAATTGAATAGATAGAAAATAAATTGAAGGAACTTATCAAAATCAACAGAGTTGGGTAGTTACACATACTTAATTGCATTTACTTGAGTAACTTCTTTGGAAAAAAAATACTTTTAGGAGTATTATTACTACTCTGCAGTTTTTACTTTTACTTGAGTAATTTTATTAGAAAGCATTTCTACTCTTACTTAAGTGAAATTTCTTGATTTTTCTACCCAGTGAATGAAAAACAAACATATTTTAACCCAGAATTCACCAGACACAGACACACAACTGCAGTTTTTGATCAAGTTTCATATGTTTTTTATTGACAGAAACTGATTTTTAAACATTTTCCTTTGCCATGATTTTGTTGTGTTTGGTTACTTTTATGAATTATTGTCATTTTCATCCTTAAAATAACAAAATTTCCACTTAATATGGCATGTTGGACCATCTCATTGTATAATTTTTAAATATTAAATGATTAATAAATTGATCAGTTATTCAGTTCTTGAGTAGACTTCTCACCAAATACTTTTTCTTTGTCTTACTTTAGTAATTTCTTGGACAGCTACTTTATACTTTTACTGATGTATTGCCACTCTTACTTTAGAACAATTTTTGGGTTCTCTACCCACTTGTGAAAATCAATAACAGAAATATAAATATAAATGAGTGTTTTTGTGGTTATATTCTCTTAGAACTCAATGTAAAAGTGTTTGTTCTCTTTGTGTTTCATTGTTAAAGGTAAACTAATTGTTTTGAGGCGGATCCAGTCCCTGTTGTGGCGCACAGGTGCCTTTGCTGATCCTGAGCTCTTCCCACTGCGCCTGCGTCCCACAACACGCTGACACACAAACAGAGGAGCTATTGTTGGCAGAGGACTGGGCAGCAGTCCGCAGGTTCGGTCAGGGTTTATCTTACCTGTGGAGATTTCGTGTGAGTTATTTTCAAGTTTCAAGAGAAAAAGAAAAGAAAAGAGCAGAAGTCAGAACTTGACTGCGCGCAGGTGAGGAGAGGGAAAACAAGTGTTGGCGGAAGGAGGACACCGAGGAGGAAGTAAATAAGGACGAACCCGACCGTTGGGCTCTGAACTCAACAGGTCAGCCTCATCTTCGGTGTCTTTCAAACGGAGCGGCTCGAAGCGACGACAGAAACATGCCGTACGGACCGTGGAAGAAGAAAAACAAGGCGACGAAGGAGCACTTGGTCGAAAACGAGGAGTTGAGCGGCGGACACGCAGGTGCTGGGAGCCTGGGTAAATCCGCCGTGAACGGAGCGGGGCTCCCACCTCCACCTGCCAGCTTGCGGCCCAAGCTGGTGTTCCACACGCAGCTAGCGCACGGCAGCCCCACCGGGAGGATCGAGGGATTCACCAACGTCAAGGAGCTCTACGGCAAGATAGCAGAGGCGTTCAATATCAGCCCTCCTGATGTAAGTAATAATAATATTACTACTGATAAAAAACTCACCTGTAGTGCGAGGTGGGCAGAGTTCCTATAATTGTATTCAAATAAGAGTAGCACGACTTCAACTTGTTTTTCCAACTACGGTAAAAGTTAAAAGTAGTCGTCCAAGAAATTACTCAAGAGTAAAAAGTCTACTCAAGTGCTGAGTGACTGACAATAATTTAATATTTAAAAATTACATACAGACCATCCAGAATATAAGTGGATATTTAGGTATTTTAAGGACGAAAATGACAATAATAGATATAAGTAACAAAATCAGGCAAAATAATTTTTTCCCCAAATCAGTTTCTTTCATTAAAAAAACGTATGAAATGTTAACAAAAACGGTAGGTCTGTGTCTGGTAAATTTTTGGTTAAACCATGTTTGTTTTTCGTTCAGTGGGTAGAGAATTCAGAAATGTTACTCAAATAAGAGNAGAANTGCTTCATAAGGAAAGTACTCAAGTAAAAATAAAAAGTACAACATAGTAAAAATACTCCTAAAAATACTCCGCCCCCAAACCCCAGAAATGACTCCAGTAAATGTAACTAGTCACTGCATATATATGCTGTTACATTAATTATTACCTCCATCACCTGAAGCAGTACTTTTGTTTTCAACTTGTGATGCACCAATCCAATAATCACTGATCAATACAAGCCTGGTTTCAGTTTATCAACCTTGGGCAGAGATAGAAAAGGGAAAAAAAACAATATTCCCCTTTATTTATTGAATAAGCATTGATTGAAGCTGTTCCTGGTCAATAACAATCTTTGTTTTCTTCGTGGTCTGACCAGCTAATAAAACAATGGCTGATTCTATCTCTTACAGATTGATTTGTGCATTTATTAAATGTGTCAAATCTTGAGAACACCTACTTTTTCAGCTTTCAGGCATGTTTTTTCATCTAATTTTTTTTAAGCTTTTGTTACATAAATGGGGAGAATCTTGGAATAATTTTATTTCTGTTGATACTGCCTCTATCTGGAAACCTACTGCACTTTCTATCTCGTGGTAAATGTTCATTACACTTGATTGTTTCAGTAATTAATATTTGAGCCAACCTAAGCTAAAAAAATCACTTGCTTTTTGCTGCATTCAAGTGTTGAAGGTGGAGTTACAGAAAGTACACAAAGCTTTCTTACAATGCTTTTTTTCTAGAAAGCTTTACAATTTTTTCTGATTAGGTTTTAAATAATTATCCTTAATGTATTTATAATTTTTGAAATTCTAATTTAGATTCTGTTGCTACTTGATTAAAAAAAAAACTTCAACATCTTGTTACCTTTTCACAAAGGATTTCACACCTGAAATATAAATCTGCCCAAAAGTTATTAGCATGTTGCTTCACTCTTAATAGCTTTACTATAATACCAGTGGATTAAGCATTTCCTGCATCACACCCATTTACATGTGTCAACACCAATTAGGTGGACAATGATCAAAATCTGTTGATTTACTTTGAACATTTTTATTGCTCGAAAATTGAAATTGAAATCGAAAACTCCCTCTGCTTTTAATCTGGAAATATGTCAGCTGACAGCATGTTCTTTGCTGAACATCTAATTAAATTATGTAATTTATTACACAAAACATTAATTAACTAGTGGTAATCTTCTGCTACTCTTGTTTTTTGTTGTTGAGAAAGACTTTGCAGCACAATTTTTTTGTTTATGGGAAATATTTACTTGATCTAATTATATGATTAAAACAGCCTTAAGGAAAATTAGTTTGGATGTGTTATAAGCCTTAAGGAATAAATCAAAATCAGCAAGTCACACCTTAAATAAGAAAAATGGAACAGGTATTGCATGAGGTTGGTAACCTTTTTCTACTTTATACATGTGTACTCATTATTTTTATGTCCTTGTTGTTGAGTAATTCTGATTTAATATGTCTAAATCTCAGGTATAATCTTAACTTTCTGAAGATTTTACATTACTCCTTCTTTCCTTTGATTGTAGTTCTCATCCTGATTTAAAAATCAAGGCATTGGATGTCTGTTGATTGCATTTTATTCAGACATTTGTTCTTTTTGTTATATTATTCCTTTTATTTTGAGCTGAAATTTTCATTTTTCATCATAAAAGATATCTTAGTTGGCTGAAATGAGCTGACTCTATAGATTTTGTGGTGGTGACATTTTAAGCATCTACCAGGAGATGTCTACCTGAGTGTATTTTTTTTTGTTAGTTTACACAGAGTCCTTCTTTGTATTTTTTTGAGTAATTTTAGTCGTGATTGTATTTAAAAAGGATAATCATGACTTATCATCTGATTGATATATTCTATCTAAATGTGAATATTGAATTCCCAGTCGGTTGTGATTTTTATGTTTCTCTCTCTATTTGTTAAATGCACATTTTAGTTGCTACCGTCTCCATTTAGTTTTTATTCATCTATGTAGGAATGCTTGTATTGTTCTTAGTGGTAAGCAGTAAAATGTTAGTGTAGGTATTTATAAAGGTACTGAACTTTTACTGTGATATTGCAGGAAGGAATGAAAGAACGCAGTTTAATATGTAGCTCTTCTCAGAAACGGCTCCTGTGCTGGACATTAAGTCAGCTTTGTGTCATGTCTCCAAAGACACGCCTAGTCAGCTCTTTCTGGCCTGCCTCACCTTTTACACCTGAAGTACTGAGAGTAATCTTTGTCCCTTCTCCGTATGCCGTCACCGGATACCTTCCAAACTAAACGTATCTATATTTAGTCGTAGTTATCGTGTTTATTCAGCATCAGGTTCCAGTAGATGCGAGGGGAAAAAAAGCTGTACATGGAGGTCCTGGAAACAAAAGCAGGTTCTGTGTCTGTCCTTTGAGGTTGAACTATCTAAGCTCTTCTTTTGAAAGGGGAGCATGAGCGGTATGTTTTGTTATGTCAAATATCTGAGCAGGAAACCATTAAGATCTGACTTTCATTGGTTTACAGTGAATCACGCAGTTTGGTTAGTGAAGCATCAGTTTTTTAAAGTCATCAACTATTTAAATGTATCCCTAATGAGTCCCAACTCTGTCTTTTTTTTGTTTTATCTGAATGGGACAGCGGCGGTTTTTCTATGGCTGATTGTTCCACTGAGTCTGTTTGTCACGCTCATTAGGCTTTTCCTGTCTGAACTAGTTTTACTGAAGCTGCCTCAGTTTGTTCTTCTCACAGTGACAAAAGACTTTTGAACAAGTTGTATTGGAAGACCAGCGGAAATGATGAATGAAGGAATAGTTTGAAACGTTTACTCACCTTTTTAATGTGAATATAGGGCAGAAAGCCATTGTCTTCACAGCTGAGTATTCACTTCAAGTCTTATTTTGTAGATATTTGCAAGCAACTAAAAGTGATTTGGAGAAAATTCTTCAAATCAATCAGATTGTGAGACAGACCTTTTGATAGACTTTGGTTATGTTCACAAAGCAGGAAAATGGGACCAAAATCCACTTTTTTTGCAATCCTTATTCAGCTTTTTCATGACATTCTGAACAACCCAATTCCAAGTTTTTAATTGATTTTTTTCACCCATCAAAAAACTGGATTGGTGCCATTTTCATATGTAGTGCCAAATCAGATACATATCCGATTGATTTTAAGGTATCTGCAGTCTGTACAGTCATGTCGCATTTTTATGTCATTTTATGCCACTGGATTAATTATTACCTCCATCACAACCATTTATATTAACTGTTTCAACACAAATCAGTTGGACAATGATCAAAATCTGCTTTGTTTTCATTGATTTGCTTTGAAAATCCAATTTTTATTCATCTGAAACGCATCAACAGTGAAAACTCCCTCTGCTTTTAGTTTGGAAATATATCAGCTCACAGCATGCTCTTTGCTGAACTTCTAGTTTAGCTAAAATCATATAAATGTTTAAACATAAAAATATTTAATTGGTGATAATCTCGTGCTACCTTTGTTTTCTGTTGTTTGACATAGCAGCATCTTTTTGCTCCATCTAATTATACGATTAAAACAGCATTAAAGACATTAGTTTGGATGTGTTACAAGCCTTCAAATCAAAAGATCACATCTTAAAGAAAAAAATGATTTGCAACATGTCATAATTCTGCAGCAGAAGAAGCCAAATGTGGTAAAACTGGGTTGTAAACAATGGCTGAAAATTATAATTATGATCTTATGGAAGAAGCTACTGAAGTGCAACTGATCACAATCAAACCACTGTTGGCTCTGACTTCACATCCAAACACACTTCTTCACAGACGTTGCAGTCAGTGCGTCACAAAAAGTCGTTTCTATTATTTGTTCTTTCTTTTTATTAACGTCCTTCATGTTATGATCTTGTGTTGGCTCCCAATGTCAATAAACCCTAAAATTAATCCATAAACGACTCCATCCATTATTACTTCCATAAACAATTTGCTTCTGTGTGATGACAACTAGTTGGAATCATAAATTGTTCACACAGAAGTTCAAATGCCGACACGTTTAATTTAGCATTAATATGAACAAAAAACATTGGATTTCATCAAATCTGAATTTAAGACCTGCAGTGTGAACATAGACTCAGTTCAGGCTCTTTCCATGCCTTGTCAATTTTCTTCACACAGTCATTTTCATGTTGATTTGGATGTTTTTGAAAAATGAAATCCTGCTTCATCTTCGTGTGTTTTCTAGCAGATACTGAAGGCTTTGGTTGTAAAAACGACTGGCACTGTGCATCCATGACTTCCTGTAACTTCAGATTATTCATGAAAAACTTACCATATACGCAGATTTCTTTTCAGTATCAAAAATATTCAAAATAAAAGGCAGCTTAGGAAGCTGAAACACCTAGACACAATGCGATTGGCTGCCGCTTACAAAGCAACCAATCAAGGAGCCCCATTCATTTTCTCTGCTGCTGATTGGCTGTAACCGACCGGAGAAAACCAGAGCTCTGTGTATGTTGGTTTCTGTGGTAGTGTAAAAAGATGTTTTAATGTAGATTAATGCATATTGAGATATATTTGATGTTAGAACCATTAAAATA